TTCCCATCATTGCTGTTTGTGTTGCAGGGGTCTTCTTCAGATGATGGGATATATTCACTTTCCAGGTCAGGAATGGATTCTGACAGAGAGTCATCTGTGGCACAGTCCTCCTGAAAGAACAAGCAGATTAGAATAGTAGTTATTCAAATAATGAACCTATAAAGTTTTGCAGTTGGGCTGCATTGCTGTAGCCCACAACAAAATAAAAAGCATAAATATATACATACCAATTTCTCTTGTGCCTTCCTTTTTCTGTTCATTATCTGTAAAATTCAGAGTAAATTTGAAACATATTGAAAATGTTACAGAAAAACCGTTACAAATAAAGTATACATCAGTTTTATTTTCCTGCATAAAGTTGGCATATCTCCAAAGACAATTTAAATAGCTTTAACTTGTGAGCCTCTATTTAAAGAAATAACTCAAAGCAAACATTAGCTTAATAGCTTCACAAATACTAACGCTGGAGACTAAACCAGAATTTAGTTTCAAGCCAAAACAACTAACTAGTTTCATAAATCTTACCTGGACAATTTGCAGTTTTTTTCCATCGTCTAATTCAGCTTTCACGGTTCTCTCCTCGCCGTATCTCTCAGCACACCGATTGTGGTGCTACCACAGTCTCCGCAGCATTGAGTCATGCATTTAATGCAACATTAGTTGAAGGTGAGCCTCAAGCTCCAGGTGTTATATGTAAATATTGCTTGATTCCCACCCACTTCTAAGCTGCCCTGTCTGCGCCCTTTTAGAGACACAGGCAGTATTGCATGAATTCAGCTTAAGCAGTATTTAATCAGAGCATGATACTTTTAGAGCACAAACTGGCACACATTTTTCTGACTTTGTTCTCTGTATGTGGACATCTTCTGAAGCTTAGACAAATCATTCTTTAAGATGAAAGGAGCCTATCCTAGCAGAAGAAATGTCCACACAAGAAAGGTGTTCGTTCTCACAAATATATAAACACAAACCCACCCACACACACACACACACACACACACACACACACACACACACACACACTACAGTATGTGCTCACCTCTAAAACATGTTCTGTTTGTTGTTCACGGTCCAGCTTTCTGGTAGTTGTGGTGATCAGACCTGAGACAAAAGACAGCAGAAAAACTAATTAGGAAACACATACACACACACACACACACACACACACACACACACACACACACACACTTCTTTCTATAGTTATGAGGACACTAATTGTAAATGAATTTCCTACACCCAAAATGTCCTCAAAATGGTTGTACTCAGTAAAAATGTGGCCACACAATGACACACACACACACACACACACACACACAATGCGGTGCCAGTAAGCCAAATGAGTAAAGTGACATGGTAATTAGTTGTGGGTGTCAAACATGATGGCGGACTTGTTCTAATTAATGTGCGTGCAGTGAGACAAGAAGGGAGAGGGAGAAAGGGAAACAGATGCAGCTCCTAATTATTATACACAGTGATTATTTAGTATTTCAAATGTCACCACACCATATTATCTGTTTTACTGTAGGGTGGAGGGCAAGCCTACACCGCTGCTTGAATCAGTTACTGAGACAAGCATAACAATGAAGAATGTCATACATGATTAACTATTGTTTGATATACTGTCTGTTAAAAGGAACAATCCAGGATATGAGAAGTGAGAAATGTCTGCATTCCACAAGATGGGAAGATGAATATGGCACTGTAAAATGTCTGCTCTATTTTGTCACTCCCCAAGACAGCTTCAATACTGGAAACCTGCATTAACGAAATCTAAGGTTTTCCACAATATGTGAGCCTATTAGTAGTGAGAGGTTCCAAAGCCAAACTTGATTACTGTGTCAAGTGTTCAGACAGCAGTTCAGGATTGGTTAGCAACTATCACATACCGTAAGCATAATTATCCAAACACATCATCATGGTTTGATGTAAAAACCTCACATGTACACGATATGCATTTCTTATGTGGCTTGGTCACATCATTCCTGGTGATTTCTGGTTACTAAATTAAAGTTGGAGTGAACTAAAAAAGGGATTTTGAGTTTTGTTAAAAATATAAGGATCAAACTAATAGGGCAAATTAATATGTTCACAGCAGAACCAAAAGAAATGCTCAGATCAGATGATTTCCAGCTACAGTATAGTTCTGATGTAGCTTCCTCATCACAGCTCTAAATTAAAAAGTTGCAGCTGCAGTATAACTTCTCCTGCGGCGTAGAGGTGCCAACAAACAGTTCTCAGTTAAAGGATATATTGTCTAAAAAATGTAATTTAAAAATACTTCAGTCCCTTGCAAATGGTAATGGAAGCATAAATTACATAATCCATGCCCACCAAGGCAGTTATGCCAACACACTTCATAAAGGACACCCCTTTATTATTTTTGGATAACCTCTTGTCTTCCTGTATATTATCCCTTTCACACATTGTAACCTGGGGTTACTGGTGCCATTTACAACCAAGGTCAAGGAAACTTGCTAAGAAATAATGTTTTTCTCACTTTATGCTAGGAGTGAGTCACTGGCCTCCATAAAGGAGTTCAAGAGGTACTGTTCTTAAATGAAGGTTAAATGCAATATGACAGGTGCTCTGGTTCGGCATCAGCAGTAATGCTGACACTGTACCGAACTGTTACAGGTCTCAATCCCTACCAGTGTAGTTGGGTTTGTGTAATGACTAAGAAATGAAACTGTACAAGCAGCCGAAATGACTTTCCCTCCTGGCACCCTTGCAGGTGAGGCACTCAGGCAGTCTGAAGGACTAGAAATGGAAAGCAAAAAGTCCAGCAACATTTGCAGTATTTTGAGTTGCCTTGTTTGTGCACCTTGATAGTGGGTGAAGTTGTGCCAGAACTTGCTGCTGTAGGACTAGAACTGCACATTTATCTGCCAGAAATGTTTTTGGGTGGGGGGCATCAAACAGGAAAGTAATTACATACATGTGTCTCTCTGCAGGCTGTGAAAAGAATTAGCACTATGTTTACTCTGTGTATCTGTGTATGTACATAAAGTATGTTCATATTACTATACTGTAGCTTTCAACTACATTTCCCAGTTTTCAACAACCAGTGGAGATTGCTCAGTTGTCATGAAGTTGGTTCATTTCCCATTATGTGACCCAATTATGGAAACAAGGACAGTCTGTATGGAGCAGGTGAGATGCAGGTTTAAAAGTATTCTAAGCTTCAGCTGATAGTTGGCAACTTTGCCACTTCACCAAAAAACAGAAATGAAAACAAATGTACAAAGAAGAAATATTTTCATATACTGTATCATGCTGTGTGTTTACCTGAAAGCATCTGAGTATTTTTAATAGCACTGTATATAAAAGCCCAACTATTTAAAATACCATGAAAACAAAGTTTTATTGTTTAACACTACTTACAGCTTTTTCCCCTCACCAATGTACAGTGGTCAAACACTTGTTCTCTAAATATTAAAAAAATATATGAGAACTTCACATCTTTCCAGTGTCTTTGCTTCTCTCCTGCAGGCACAGCAAAGGATTTTTCAAGCTGCCAGAACATCTTCAGAAAAAAGGCATCAAATATTAATTTGAAGAACTTAACAGCATAGATCGAGGAGATACATGTACAGAAAGATAATATGAAAGAATAAGAGGATGAGATGAGTGGATGGAAAATTGCAGAGATATGGAGTGTAACTGACTGGAAAGGACCAAGTGAAGTTTAAAACATGAGAGAATGGCTGGTGGTCACTGACTTTACTTTGCACACTGACTTTTTTATGTGTTTGTTTGTTTGTTTTTGTAATTGGACATTTTCAATGCATTAAATCAATCTGAAGAACTGATCAATTCTTTTGTCCGATGACATTAGGCAAATGTGGATCTGAAAATATTTCTAAATACAAACAAAATATGAATGTTTGCAAATGGAGCCATTATCAGCTGTGGTACACCTTCTGGTGCTCTCTATTGAACACTTATTATACAGAATGCAACACTTGGATTATATTTAACACACCGAGGAATGAGAAAATTAAGGACTAACAATTGATGCATATTGAACAAAATAAGCCATGACTAGGGACCTCTGGGTCCACAATGATTTTGCTGAGGGCCATAGAGAGGTAATGTTTTTAGTCAGTCTTTGACCTTCCAGTTTCTGCATTGAGGCCATATGCATATCTGTATTGCAGATTGCCACAAAAGCCAATAATATTTCCAAAGTGGTGATTCCCTGAGGGTCGACCTTTCCTGCTATGGAGGTGCCATTATATTTGTGTGTTGCACCACTCTCAGACAAAAACTGTCAACTTTGCACATAAGATATTTCCTAGTGTAAATGCTACATCAGCAGTAAAAGGTTTGTGGAGTATACTAAAAATCATCATTTGTTGTGTAGTCTGTGGATTGCATGGATGGAATCTCCACAGCAGTTATGCTTTATTTATGCAATACTTCTGGTGAGAACTGTATGCTACATTTTAAAGTGGACTGGTGCTTCAGATGATGCAAGTTCTTTCTTGTCTATGGTTTGACCCTGGTCATCGGAACCAAGGACCAACCTGCTAATAATTCTCATCAATACTGATAGCCTCTCTGTTACAGATTAGCAGTAGACTGTTGCAACCATTAATGTGATCTTACCAATCAGAGAAAATGCTATTGATTAATGACACCACAACTGATGATTTTCTGCTTTATTAGCCAGGGATACTGGCATGCTAACAAGCGGGAGCAGCTGATTCTAGTTCCTACATCTGCTGGTGCCATATTATTAGCTTGAGCAAAAAAGAGAATATGACAGCTCTCAACTCAACTATGCTGCATAACACACACAGATGTCTATAAATATCCAGCTGTTTTGCCAAAGAATCAGTAACAGACACACAAAGACTATTGACAACTGGGATCAGACACACTAATACACACATCAAGACCCTGAAAAAACAAAAGCACCTTAATAATACAAAAACTTACATAAAGAAAATAGACTAAACACAATCATACATCAAGACAGACTGAAATTCATGTACTTAAGCTCCCAGAATTTGAGTTTATTCAGACACAAGATCCTTCCTCTCACCACACACACATACACCATGTAGCAGAAACCTAAGTAACAAAGACCAACAACATGACTTTTACACAAGTACACACACACACACAGGAAAAATCCCCAAATCACTGCATGTTATGAGTGTAGAAATTACAAACGGTTGTAGTGACGCTGACTTTCAGCAGCAGCTGTACTGTCTGCATTCGAATTTCACACATGAGTGACTAAGAAGTTTCCATTTGAATATTTATTTGTTTTGGCATAATGAATGAGGTAAACCAGATGCCATCCATAACATTCATCTAAGGTGGACAAACAGAGCAAAATTTTCCAACTAACTATATTTACTTAACCCAGGCTTTGTTTTTTTTTTACTAGCAGCATGTAGTCAATGTTGATCCATGATTTGTCATGATCACCACATCATTCTCATCCTTGTTATCTACATCTCATTCATGCCTTGAGTACCCTCCCCATCATTAGCCCATATACTGTACAATCGCCACCTATTTTGAACATATGCTAATGCTACTTGTTGCTGACAAGTATAATGCCTCCAGGCTAAGTAAATTTAGCTTTTACCTACTGCATGTGCTTAGACACATCTGTTTGTTCAGGGGTCCAAATTCTGTATTATTATTATTTATAATTTCAACAATTCCCTCCACAACACCACCCTCCAGTGCTGCTGTTCTTTGGGCTGCTCTAGAAAACAAAAAGTCCAACAATCCAGACTGAGTCCAAAAACAGGTGAGCAGTCCAAACACAAGGAAAACACGATGAACACTAGGAAAAAGGTGGCTGGAATACAAAAGCTAGGGAAAGCACATCAGGTGATCTGGCAGAGACCTATGGGAAACTAAGTGGTGTAAAAACTGAAGGGGTAATGAGGGAAATCAAAACAGGTGAGCAGGCCATGCAGTGCTAAGACTGGATCTATGGCTCAACTTCTAATACTTGAATCAAACACAGCAAACACAATTAGCTTGGGCTCAGAGACTGACGGCATGTTAACTTTCACCCAAAAGTTTAACTGCTGTTGTGAGACTGAGAATAATATGGAATGACAAACAACAAAAAACATGGAATGATGAGAAAAAACGTTCACCCTACATGTCTACTCCTCTATGCCCTTACTTTGTCTTTCTACATAAATACTTCCTATGACCTGGGTGAAGTTGGCCCACCACCCAATGCAAAATAAAGCCAAAATGGTGTCATCCGTTTGTGCTTTGTTTGTGCTGCAAAAAGTTCCGTTTGTGCTGTTACGGTATTTGAGATATTAAACAATATCTTTAGGAGTCATCCACAGGTCACTCAGCCCCCCAGATAGCTCCAAATTGGACAAAAGTGGTGTCGTTCGTTTGTGCTTGGTTTGTGCTGCAAAAACTTTCATTTGTGCTGTTACGGTATTTGAGATATTACAGCTTTCAATTTCTGATGACGTCACTCAGCCCCCCAGATAGCTCCAAATTGGACAAAAGTGGTGTCGTTCGTTTGTGCTTCGTTTGTGCTGGTTTGTGCTGCAAAAAGTTTCGTTTGTGCTGTTACGGTATTTGAGATATTACAGCTTTC